CGAGCCGAGTAGGACCACAAAGGGCGGCAAAGCTCTCCCTCAAGAGTTTTAACACTGCTGCATTCCCAGGGCTCGAACACGAGACCACTGGTTAAGTTGGAAGAGACCCAAGCCATCTCATCCAAGCGCTCTTGCGTATTTTTTTTATTTTTTATTATTTTTTTTTAAAGTAAGCTATCTTTTGCACACTCTCAGTTTTTAAAACACAATCTGATTTGTGAATATGTAAACATATGATAGAAATCTACAGCCTTTATTTGAAACTTAGTTTTTTTTTTTTTTTTGTNNTTTTTTTTTTTTTTTTGTTATCATCCATGCAGATGTTGAAAGGACACTGCATTGCATTCAAGATTTGATGAATTAGAAAATAAATAAATAAATAAAATAGAGGAAAACAAGAAAAAAAAGGGGATTTGTAGGGCTAATTTAGTTTAAGCTTATGTTGGTAGTGATTCCTATTTTGGTACATTTTGACCCAATCCCAATTCCCAATTGTCTACTCTGAATATCTTAGGTTTTTTTTTTGCTGGATGATTTTTAATTAATTAAATACAAGAAGGCCCACTCACTGATTAAAGTGTCTGCACAATTCTGAAATTCTGAAATTGGCCTTGAGAATTTCAAAAAGATCCAATGTTTTATCACAGTTTCTTGCAAAAAGATCCAATTTTTTTCACTGTTTCTTGCAAAAGATCCATTTTTTTATTTTTTTTTGCACAGAAAAAGATCCAATTTTTGTCACAGTTTCTTGTAAAAGATCCATTTTTTTTTAACAGTTTCTTGCAAAAAGATCCAATTTTTGTTACAGTTTCTTGTAAAAAATCCATTTTTATATCACAGTTTCTTGCAAAAGATCTAAGTTTTGTCACAGTTAACTTGTAAAAGATTCAATTTTTATCACAGTTTCTTGCAAAAGATCTAATTTTTGTAACAGTTTCTTGCAAAAGATCCATTTTTATATCACAGTTTCTTGCAAAAGATCTAATTTTGTCACAGTTTCTTGTAAAAGATCCAATTTTCAGCACAGTTTCATGTAAAAGATCCATTTTTTGTCACAGTTTCTTGCTAAAGACCCAATTTTTGTCACAGCTTCTTGCAAAGATCCATTTTTTTTTTTTCACCATTTCTTGCAAATGTTGGGTTTTCTCACCTAACTACAAAGTAGGGATGAAAATTTAACACACACCTACACCTAATATGAACTGCAATATTCCTACACAAAATTGTTTAGTGCACATTCCAAGTGTATAAATTCCTTGCAACAATATTTCTAACATTTCCTTAACCAAACAAAAAATTGACGACAACGTCGCCTGGAGTACAATGAGAAACAATGTTGAATACGTCTTAGAAGATAATGTACACATAAGTGGTGCAAATGAGAATGGATCGAGATAATATACGGATTTTAAAACGAGTGAAAATGAGCAAAAGTGAATATTCGAGATGCTTATTATTATCCTACTTATTTCCATTTATGAGAATAAAGGAAAGTTAGCTGGCCAATATCATAGAATGTAGCGCGACTATGCATTGATGTTGTCGTGAAAGTAGCAACAAGAATGCATGCATATATAAGTGAAAAGCGGAGAGTCGAAACCAGGAGTATGTGGAGTTATCGCCTCGAGTTATCAGTAATTGAATAAACACCCCAGGTTTGGGGCATTTACGAAAAACAGCAGATTTCGAGATAGCAAAAGATTCAATAAACCAACCTTGGAATGAACATCCCAAGAGGCAAATTATAGTATTATTTCTGCAAATCATCAAGGGGTGGTCCTAAAGTTCTCAATTTTCTAGGTGAAAAATGTAAGCAAGCATCAAAATCTCAAAATTTCCCCTTTCATGTTTAATTTTAAAGCATTCATCTGCTTTTCATTGTAATAAACCCAAACTAATAATCATTGTTCTAACACAATGAAGCCATTCTTGTTTTTCCTCGACGACTCCTCCAAACTTTTATTACAAAGAAAACAAGGATAAACAAACGTGTGCATGCAACAAAAAAGGATATCTAAAATAGAGTATGGACGCTAACAAAAGATAATTTTGAATTTTTTTCTTAGATGTCTGATTTATTTCTTCCATAAGGTGAAAGATTCTCAAATCCACAGACAGACAGCAAACAAAACCTGACCTTCACCAGTTACAAAAAAGAAATTAGGCTCAGAGTTCGATTGAATTACTATGGAAATAATCGAATACATTTCAACGTTTGTTGTTCATCTGTCAATTTTATCTCGCTTTACTGCACGTCAAATTTAAATACAATAATTAATATCGGAAAAAAAAGGCAAAAAAGCAAGCTTGACTAATACAATTGTCAAAAAAAAAAAAAAAACGAGTTAAAACTTCCATATCTAAAACCTGCATTCTAACTCACTCTTAAAGGTTCATGGCAAGGCTTGCGCATTCATCCATTTCAGGGTTTACAAAAACCAGTAAACAGAAGCGCTTCGATGATATTAGTTGAAAATATTCTTGTTACTTGATTGTTTAGGAGTCTGTAAGGACTTTATCATGCTTGTCTGAACACTTACAGAGACATCGGAAATTGAATTCATTTCTTATCATCCGAACCATGTTTGCCGAATTTTTCCAGTGCCAGAGAATATATTGCTTTTCGCTTCATGGGTGTTCCTGGGGCCACCAACTTGACTGCCTGCGTATTTTAAATAGACAACGTCCAAATGAGAAGCTATCCAGGAATGAATTTTGTTAGCCACACAAGCTACTTCAGAAAATTAAAAAGAGTAAAGTACAAGGCAAACGAAGTATGTTGTCCTCCGGCATATCCCATCAATTTGGCGAAACTTATCTCGATGCATGTGATATGAAAATCAAGGTGCATTGATGGATCGAAATATGTGCATGTCTTATATATTTATTTGGGTATTTTTATGCACGTAATTCTTTCACACATAAACCTATTTATACGCTCTCACTTGTCACTTACCATGGAAAGACTGTGCCCTTGAGAAATCAACTCGCCCAACTCCTTTTCAAGTTGAGACTCGGAGAGCTTTTGACCCTCGCTAATTGTCATTCCTTCAATCAACATTGTGATTTCACCTTTCGGTTGGTGCGTGGAGAAAGCTTCCATGGCTTCCCCAAGAGTGCCACGCCAGAACTTGCCAATAGAATGTAACTTGTTAGATTTTCAGATTAAATATATTCCAAATAACAATTTTCATTGCAATCTTTCTCATCATTCAATAAACGATGTTGACAACATTTTTCAGATAAATTATCTGGTTTTTAAGAAACCGCAATTGACAGCTAGTCATAGCATAAGTCAGTTTTGATGTAGGACCCAGCAATTTCATGGTCACCATCTTTAAAGGTTCAAGTCTGCAACTTGCACATGTAAACTGATACTGTATAGAATTCTAACCATAGTCTAACTAGATGAATAACACAGCTAGTTTGTAGTTACTAAGTTAGCCACACCCTCCTTTGGCCAAGGCAAAGCGCACTTTTCATATTATTCAGGTAGCAGACAGCATACTGTTTCATTCAGCTATGTCATATTTGTTTAGTTTCAGAGGCAACCTCAAATAACATTGAATCATTAGAACACAGGCACCCAACTAAGCCAAGAGAAATAAAAAGAACAAATTTAAAAGGTCATTATATGCAAGCAGTATATTTCTTTGGCATCAGAAGATCTTGAATAAATCAGATAAAACACTAGAAAATTGTACGTATGATTCTGCTTCCTCAAGGATTCTTGAACGTAAAATTTGCATTAAACAACTCACAAAACAGTTACTTACATCCATTTGTTGTCACAACTTATAATAGAATTTTCTGTGAATCAACAGGTGATAAGACAAAGAGACTGCCCATGTCTTGTCATGCAGCTAGAGATTCTAATACTAAATACAGTCCCACAGTGTACCCCATCTTTCCATATCTCCATGTGCCAAAACTAAGTCTAATCAATATGCAACAAACCCATCACAAAGTGAAATCATTAAAATCACATTAGCAAATCACCAAGTTCAAACCTTACTTCTTCATGCATTTTGGTCATCTCTCGAGCAATGACACAACGCCTGAATAAGAATGCACACCAGTTAGAAAAAGAACGTAACTATTTCTTGAGTTTAGAAACATACATTATTATGTATTTATAGATGCAGGAGCTTCTTTGGTGACTAACAGTAAAACAAACTATATAAACAGGAACCAAGGATGTGCTTTGATCGAAATTAACAAATATTATCCTACAAGTGTTCCGATGTGGCATGAAGTTCTTAAAACTCATAAACCATAGATACGAAGAGGGGTGACATGAAGTAAAGATCACAAGCCCATGGCCTTGTGCAATTTAAAGATGTTCTTCGAAGCATGCAAAGAGACAATTTAAGGATCAATATATACCCGGACTGCGTACTGAAGCCATGATATTCACCTGACTTTTCATCAAAAGGAGAATAAATAAATAGAAGAATGAAGAAAATAAATGTGTTTCACGTATTTATAAACCCAAATTCCTTGAGACGTCTCTTTACCACGACTATTCAGAACCCGTATTCCAAAAAAAAAAAAAGAAAAATCTCAGTAAGTATGAAATAATTAGTTATTTAATCCACACTGCAAGAACTATGATCAATAATGAGACAACCTAATATGTAATAACATTGCCAAACAAAACCAATGTAATGATATTTACCTATGTTGTCCAAAGATTGAAGAAGTGTCTTCCAGAAACTGAAAGAGATTATGGGGAGGAACAAAGAAGACCTGAGTGGTAGCACTATTCGCAGCAACCATCAACCTCTCCCTTCTTGTTGTCCCATGTTTCGGCAGAAAACCAACTGCATCAATAATGTTATATTGTAAACCTCATATCTTCATAACTGTAGCTGTTAAAAACCACTCGCAAGTTATCAGAAGATTACCAAATGTAAACTCATTAGTTGGCAACCCGGATGCGGAGAGAGCTGCTACCACAGCAGATGGCCCAGGTACAGGTATAACGGGTATATTTTTTTCTACACACAATTTGGCCTATATATCCAAATGCAAAAGTTTAGCTGATAATTTGAATGAAGAACATTTATGTAAAGCTTTATGGACGTGAGATACGAGACATAATAGAAGAGAAAAGCAGTAGCGAATGAATAGATTATTATGCTTTGAAAACGAAAATATAAAATAGAAGTCGAATGATAAGAAGAATGGAAATCTATAAGGTCCTTCAATAATTTTATGATTCCAGTAAATTAAAATCATTAACTCCTGGCATAGTGCTAATAATGGACTAAATCAAAATGACTCAATTAAATTCTAGTGCTTCTTCTATTAGTGAAGTTTCTAGAAAAAAATATATCAAACGACGCAACGCACCTTGGGTCGCTATGGAAACATCCTCCTTGTATAATTACAAGGGTAAGGTCTGCATACAACTGACCGCCCAGACCCCAACCTAATATACTGGGTATGTGGGTATGTTGATGATGATTGATGATGATGAATCAGAAAGTTGGCATTTGAAAACTACTAAAACCTACTTTTATTCTGTATAACTGACCAAAACTTTAGAATCATTGTTCTTTAGGTGATTGGAAAATCAACTTAGTAACTTACTAGCTCATTTCCAGGATCACTAATGCCTGGCATGCCTGCATCACTTATCAATGCCACTATTTCCTTATCAAGCAGTCTTTTCAGCACGACTTGCTCTCGTTGAGATTCGTTGAATTTGTGATAGCTTAACTGA